TTTTATTAGTATTTGCATGGTGTGTGTTTTTCTATCTCTATGAGTTTTCTATGGCTATGTAATAAATAACCATACACTTAGTGACTTTAATAACATCCATTTATTAGCTTATAGTTTCTATAGGTCAGAAGCTGTGACCAGTCCCTATGGCACAGAGTGTTGGAGGTGGGCATTCTCAGTGACTCCGCCCATCCCACAGGAAAGGGGATATTTTTTCCTTTTACTCTTCCACCAGCCCACATGGGTCCTCATGTGTGCCCTGAAGGAGACAGGATTTGCTGACCTCCTCCTAGTTTCTTGAGGCTTTTGTTCTGTAGAAGAGAACAGCCTGGCTGGGCTTTATGGTTTTTTGTTTTGTTTTGTTTTGTTTTTTGCAGTGTTGGCTACTCCCCTCCCTCCTTCTGGCCTCCATCACTGAGGGAGGCTCTCTCTAGCCTCCTGCTCTGAAGCCAGTGTTTGTCAGGAGCATACTCAGTGGTGGTTTGTTGAGAAGAACCTGCAGGTGGATATGAGCTCCCGTGTCTGTGGCTAGTCCCCCTTGGCTTTTAGCAGTTTACTAAATAGTTTAGCTATATTCCCTTTACCTGTTTATATGGTGCCCAGTGTCTCTTCTTCCTGTGCCTTGTCTCAGGTGAGCAAGTACTCATGTCCAGTTTCTCCTTTGAGGGGCCTTTCTCCTTAGATTTTATTCTATTTGGTTGCCATATGACCTCTGCTCTCTGATGACTTCAAGAAAACTTATGTTGTCTGTAGTTTATAGGCTTCTCGTTAGGGTGAGTACAGTGCGCTTTCCAACTTTCACCATCCCAGCGGGGAGCCTAAGTCTTCTTGACCCTATTTTGATCTTCACAAGAAAACAGATGCCAGCCCCACTGGGCGCTGGGTCCTGTGCTGTGTGAGGAGGAATCAACTCTGTTGTGAGGAATTCCCGCCCACCCCAGCATTGTATTTAATGTCGATAGGGTAATTCTCGAAGATGTTACCTAAGCTTTCCCAGTGGGACGCGTTGCTTGTAATTTGAATCCTGAGTGAGTGTCTCAGGGTGGAAAGAAAGGTTGGAGATGAGCAGCATACTTCCGGATGCCGTACCCTTTCTCTGAGGCTGAACTCTGAACTCTGAACTCTGAACTCCCGGTGCCTTTGTCCATTCAAATCTGGTTCTCTGGATTCATATTACTTTTGCGTGCCTCTAGTAGCCTTCCAATAAATTCCTTTTTGCTTTACGTTTACTAGAATAAATAGTTTTTGTCACTTACAACCCAGGACCTTTGCCTTAGGAAATTTATAGACTCAAAGGGAAAACACAATACCTAGAAAACAACTGAAATACCAAATGCAGAGCAAAGTAGTCCGGCCAAGACTGGACAGGCTAGTGGTCAGCAAACTCGTTCACAAATACCAGATAGCCAATATTTTAGTCTCATGGCCATATGGACTCCGCTGTACTAACTCAGCTCTGCCATTGTAGCGCAGAAGCAGCCATGGGCGATACGTAACCAGTAGGAGCAGTCATTCCGATAAAACGATTTAGAAGTGCAAGCTGCCGTCATTTGCCCACACCGAGGGTAGGCTACCATGAATATTTAGGGGAAGAAGGGAGACTATCGAAGTTTCTACTCAGGCTCTTGGCCAAGACCAGAGTTTCAAGTCTCAAGATCCTTATGCCAAGTATTGACTGACCGACACAGTTCTTTCTGCCCATTCTTCTCTTACAGAAGCAAAACCAGCCCCAGAAATATTTGAAAATGAAGTCATGGAACTGCTGAGAGACTTTGCTAAAAACAAAAACAAAGAGCAGAGACTGCGGGCCCCAGATCTTGAATACCTCTTTGAAAAGCCACAGTGAGCTGTGTACCACTGCCTGTCTTGGGGGGTTCCGTCCAGGGACCCTAACTGCTTATGACTTCCTGCTTTTCCTTAGACACTCAGCCCTCCCGGACCATTATGGACCCACCTCTCCTCCAGGACATGTGGATCAGTATGTCTCATGCTAACAATTTTTTGTTCAGTTCTAGGCCTCAGAAGTGGTTTATCAGTGTTGCCAGCGCTTGGGCCTGGCCGTTTCTCTGGCAGACATCTGCCACAGGAGGGCACTGTAGGGAAGCGAATGTGCTGGCTCATGGGCTCAGCCAGAAGCTGCTCAGTGAAAAGAGGCAGCCAGCCAGGGTGTCACATGGAAAGCTTCCCAGAGTGCCCAGGGCTTTGTTCCAGTACAGTTCCCCGCTTCTAACTCCGGACGGTTCTTCCTGCCAAGGGAGGCCGATCCACGCCCCCTGAGTTGCATCCTTCAAAGGCACAGCGGGCAGAACGAGGGCAGCGGGTGGGAATGCTGCGTGCATGCCGCCTAAGAGCCCACTTTCTCATCAGATTTTCTTTAAAATGTTCACTTAATGAACTGAACAATAATTGAATATTAAGGAATGCTTTAAAAAGGAAAATCACAGTTCCCCAACTTGCACACAATTATTTAATTTTGTCTGTTCTTGTATAATCTATAGCCAGATATTTATAGAGTTTGACAAGGTCGCAATCACAGGTTTCTCTCTCCATACAGCACGATAGCAAACTTTTTCCATATTTCTATAGTCTCCACAATTATGTTGGAATGAATTAGCCACTAGTGTTTAGCTCTAGGGCCAGAAAACTTCCGTATTGCTAGGGGTGGCTTTCGCCCTCGGAGCTGTGATCCTGTCAGAACAGTCATCACCCAGACTGGGCCAGCACTGTCTGAAGGTGTGGGCCTGAGGAAGGCAGGCCAGAGCTGCTGCCAGGTGGATGGTGAGCGTGAGACCTGCACGCAGGGAGGGAGCACATGTTTCTGGAGTTGTTGAGCTACGGGGTTCCCATGGAGCTGCGTCATGGTCCTGCCTGCTCTGCAGTGTCCCTGGCTAAGGGAAGAAGAGAAGAGAACCAGCCTATACTTACATGATTACATTAAAGCTCACAGCACTCCTACAGACAAGTGGTGGTTTGCTTATTTTGTAAGTGAGAAAAGGGGCTCAGAGTCATTCGTCCAAGGTCAAGTAGCTGTTCTGTCAAAAAGCCAGAATCTCGTTTAGTTCAGTCTGCCTCCAAAGCTTGTGAACTTTCTACCAGAGCATGCTACCTTACTGATGGAAACTTAGTAGAAATCTACGCTTTGAAAAGTTATAGCAAAGAAACTTGACAGTTCTGAGATGTGACCTGTGTGTTATGTATGGGGCAGGAAGCTGCCAGATGCTCCCCCAGGTAATCACTTGGTCACCCAGAGTAGGTCTCGTAAGTGAGGAATCACTGGGTACGAGTTTGAATCTGGCACTGCTGCTTGCTTGTTGGGTAAATGCGTTGGCTTGAGCCTCAGTTTCCTCATCTATGAAATGGGCATGGTGATGCTCCCTGTCTTAACCAGCTGTGAAGATCAGATGAGAAGGAAGGGGTAAAGCATATAAAGTTCTTACAGGGTCTCCAGCACACAGTAAGCTCTCAGTAGATATTCAGTGTCAGCGTTTGGTCATAGCATCAGCCTGAGACTTAAAACCTGTCTGCTAACAAACCGCGTGGTGCAGGCAGCCTCATCTGCAGATAGAAAGCCGAGCCTATTAAAGAACCACGGGGTATCTTTCACTGGGAGAGAAAACAGACCTTGGTGACAAGACCTTTGATGGAAAAATCTGTAGCGCTCACCTAAGTAAGGAATGGGAATAAGATCTAGAAGGCGGAACCAGGGCAGACGAGAAGACAGATGTCACCCTGGATGCTTACCACAGACTCTGGCCATTCTCGGGCCTCATTTGATGTACTGTGAGGAAAATGTTGAACAGGCAGAGAGTTTATATATAGAGAGATATCTGGACTGTAAAAAGTGCACATGAATTGGGCAGCGACTTGCTCATCTATCCTGGACACTTACGCAACAAACCCCAGTAGCCAAGTATGCAGTTGGGGTTTTTTTCCCCTGGGGTTTGATCTCTCCTTACTCTGATTTTGTCTTATTTAACATAATGTCCAACTGCTGCCACTTTCACCTGGGAATGGCACGCTTCTAAAGGAATTGTTTTCCTCCTGGGCTGCTGGCTTGTGTCATCTCTGAAAGTGAGGGATCTTGCTAACTTCAGCTGCTCAGTGTCAGACCCAGGGGTGCTATGTAAACAGTTTTTCCCTTTATTAGGCATTAAGTAAAACTAGGCCGGCCACAGTACATTTTTTAAAAATATTAATAAACATATAGCAAAGGCCAGCAGCACCCCCCACCCCAAAGGTCCGTGAATAGAAGCTAGACTCATTCCTCGGTTTGACACATCACTGCTTGCTGGCCTCATTCAGAGCCTGCGCTGGGCAGATAAGCATCTGGCCCTGCCCTGCCCACCTGAAGAGGTCCCGAGAATCCTATCTCCAGACTCACATGACACATTAAACTGGGTCAATAAAGGCTGCTTTTTTTTCCCACCATTTTCTCACTTATCCACTTAAGTCTTCAGAATCCATAAGTCAAACACCTTTTGCTCGAACTCTGTCTCAAATAGAACCAATCTGTTGTGGATTATTGTAGAGGCACCTTTTGCTGGCGTCAGGCACGACCTGGAGATAGCTACTCTGTCTCTTCAGCATCAGCCAGGGCGGCACCAGCGCAAACCTGGCTCCTATTTTAAACATCAGGGCAAGATTCCTCTGGGAGAGCTGAGAGTCTCACCTTTACCCTTCAGTCCATCTCCTGCTGTTGTGGCAAGACAGGAAGAAGCCATGATACGGAAGCTTAAGCAGCCTTAAATGGCAAGCAGGTGTGGGAGACTTTGAGCTAACAGCCCCCTTGTTTATAGCCTATTATGTCTGAGGACAGTGGACTCGCCATCCTGTAGCTGTCAAGTTGATGATGCTGATCAGCTTCCAGTTACGCCACCTTGTGAAACCTCAGTTTCCCAGGGAACCCTCTGAACGGTGTTAGACTCTTCCCGTCAGGTAAAATGGCATTGGTGGGACAGATGGCCTAAAGTAAGTAATGCTCTTTGGGCTTAAGAAACATGTCTTGGCAGGCAGACATTTTTGGGCAGATGGTAGAAAAGGTGAAGCTATCCAAGAATAACATCAGGCTTCAAAGGACGAAATATGTAGAGAAATTTACCATCTCGTAACTTAAAACAACAAAAGGAGACTTCAAGTTTTTTGCTGGGTCTTGCCCGAATCCAGATACTCTTGCCAAGGACATGAATGTTCTCTTTTAAAGGCGTGCCTCCTATTTATTGTACCAGAAAGCCTCCAGGTAGCCATTAAGGAGAAAGGGAGCGGTATGGAAGTGAACCAGCAAAGCAAGTTAGGCTCAGGAATTATGTCTAGGAAAAGACTAGGCGAGTATGGCTGCTGGCACACAGAACCGACTAGAAATAAGTAGATTTCGAAGAATTATATTGCCGAGGGAACCAGGAGTCAGGCTTCCCTCCCTCCACAAAATTTGACAGTTTTCAGTTCTAAAACTTTGGACCTCCAAGCACCCATGAGCAGGAGGGAGGGTATGCCACCTCAAAGAGGACATGCTCTGTCACGCCCATTTCAGATGTGGCCAGGGATGGCCGAAGGGGACGCTCCCAGAGAGAAGGGTTTTAGTGCATTAGGCCTGTCTCTTTCACTGTGGAAAGTGGAGAGTTCTTGGTTCTCTGCCCAGGCCTCTGGAAGATCTGGGATGTTAAAAGAAGCAGAGTCCCCAACCTAGGCGTTCTTTGTTATGGACGCTGCACCCCACGGTCCTGGAGCACAGGGCACCAGGGTCCATCCACCACAGCTGGGGGTTGGCATCTCATTTCCCACAAGGAGGGTGTGCTGGAGAAGCAGAAATAGCTGGGAGTCGTGTCTGTGTGGGTGCTCAGTACCAGCTCTCTCTCTGCTTTCTCCTCCCATTCAGTCTGGTGGGCCCTCTTAGACTCCCCCCGCCCCTCAACACATGCATACACACTCCTTGCTCCACCGCGTCCCTCAAGCTGCTGTCCCAGAGAGCAATGTTCTCTGCCTTTCTCATGTGCAGAGAGCGAGGTTACACTTACTGTGGCCTACCTCCTAAGCTTTCTTTCCCTGGTCTGTCTCATTCATACTCGCGAACAAGCCCCCTTCAGAGGAGGTTGCATTATCCCATTTCTGCATGAGGAAATCGAAACCCAGAGAGGCTTGCCCGTGCTCACACGGCCAGGAAGCAGCAAGACAGGATTTAAATCCAGGTTCCCTTAGAGTTACTTTGAACACCTCCTTGTCCCAGACTGATCCCGTTCACTCCTTGCCATCGTGAACTTTGCCACATCTACATACCATCTATAATAATATTTACTTACTATCTTTCTTAAGTTGAGTCCCTTTTTTTATTTAAACAAATTAATTTTAAAAGGAAACCACAACTATACATGAAAAAATTGTATCGATAGTGTCACTTGCCAAAATTAAACCAGTAACAAAAATAAATACATGAAATGTTATTGATTTTTTTAACGTCTTATTAAAAATTCAAGCATAGCAATGTTGAATTTTACAGTGACCACCCGTATATCTACCACTTAGATTCTATTAGTTTTTTATTCTCCTTAATTTGTTGCTTATCTGCCCATTTTTCCCTCCCTCTCCACCCATCATCAATCCATCTTCTTTTTGATGCATTTTAAAGAAAATTACATTAGAATGCTTTCCCTAAATACTTCAGAGTGCATGTCATTAACTAGAGTTCAATATTTGAAGTTTTTTTCTTTTGCTGTAAAATGCACATACATTGAAATGCACACGTTTTAAATTTTTTTTTAATTTTTGTCTTTCAATTACAGTAGACATACAATATATTAGTTTCAGGTGTAGAATGCACAAATCTACATTTGTACATTTGCTGAGTTTTGACCAAAACTAGGTACACTTTGACAACCAAATTCCTATCAAGATACAGAAATTCCTACCATCACCCTAGAAAGTTCCCTCGTGCTCCATCCCAGTCAGCCCCACAACACACTGCCCCACACCCCCAGGCAAGCATATCTCTGATTTTTTTCCACCATAGATTAGTTTGGTCTGTTCTAGAATTTCATGTAGATGGAATCATATAATACGTACTCTTGTGTGTGTAACTGCTTTCAGCATGTTTTTGAGTTCGATCCATGTCATAACACATATCAGTATTTGTCCCTACTTGCCATTGTATGACACTATCATGTTTAGTCTATCCATTTACCTATTGCTGCACACCTGAGCTGTTCCCAATATTGGGCTATTATGAATGAAGATACTACAAACAAGTCTTACGAGCAAATGTTTTTGTTTCTCTTAGTAAATATCTAGCAGTAGAATTGCTGGGTCAAAGGTAGGTGTATGTCTAGTTTTAAAGCAACTGTCAGAACTAAAGTAGATGTACCATTTTATACTTCTACCAACGAGGGAGGAGAGATCCGATTGACTTATAACCTTGTCAACATTTGGTGGCGTCAGTCCTTCAAATTTTAGCTTATCTGGTGGGTAGGTACTGGTGCCTCATTGTGGTTTTAATTTGCATTCTTCTGATAATTAATGACGCTGAATATTTTTTCATGCGCTTATCATAAGGCCATATATCTTTTGTTGAGTATCCAAGTCTTTTGCCCATTTTAAGATTTGGTTGTCATTTTATTATTGAATTGTAGGAGTTCTTTATATAGCCTGCATACTGGTCCTTTGCCAGACACGTTTGCAAATATTTTTACCCAGTCTGCGGTTTATATGTTCATTTTCTTAACAGTGTCCTTTGTAGAGCTGAAGTTTTAAATTTTGAGGAAGTTCAATTTATCAGCTATTTTATGTTGCTCTTTGTGACCTGCTGAAGAAGCCATTGCTTATCCCCAAGTCATGAAGATATCTTGAATGAATTTTTAGGTATAGTGTGAGTAAGATTTGAGGTTCTTTTTGTTTTCCATATAGGTGCCCACTTATTCCATCATCATTTATTAAAAAGACTTCTTTTCCTATTGGATTGCTTTGGCATTTTTG